AGGCTTCAAAAACCAAGACGATGTCAAAAACGCCTTCAACGATTTTGTGGCCTCTAAAAAGAATTACAACCAATCTTGAAGTATCATTTAGAAAGAGCATTAGATAAGCTTTCGAATGATATATAACACTTACATTTTATTGGAATAAAATAAGTATTAAATACAAAAAAACGAAATCCTGCATTTCTTTTGCAACGACCTAATACTCGTCTTCCCATGTTTCACAGGAGATCTTATAGACCACCCCTCGCATTGCGCAGTCTCCTTCCCTGCCATTCGGGAGACTATGCAATCTGCTGTTTCACATGCGCGACCGTAGAGGCTGCGAACAAGACGGCGTTTAAGATTGGTAGGAGGAATGTCCCCAAATCCAACGGAATTTAAAGCTTGACCTCCTCAGGTACTCCCTCATAAAGTGCTAACTTCATGGAAGCCAAACAGCGCTAAATTGCCGCAGGGTAAATAACTACAACGGGGTCGACTTCGGGTCACGGTTGAGATCCTGGAGCAAGAGACGCAAACTCCCGCCCGCAAGACCCTCGAGGCATTTTGGATCCAGGCCGTGGGTCCAAAAATGAACCGGAGGGAGAATGTTTGTCAATAACACGGGAGTGAGCCCCCTATATAAGGTTAGCCTTTTGAACGGGGTTCTGAATGCGATCTGTCCGAAAACCTACCGTCTGTGCTAGCCGTGATCCAGTGACTCACGAAGGTACGATAATTTTTCTCCCTATTCTTGAGTGATGAGGGGGGAGGCCCTCGAAGGTCTATGTGGGGATGTGAGATGATCGAGTACTCATAAATCAACTTTCACCCTTTCAGGCTCTGAAGAATGTGAACTCACACCTTGTGTGGAGTTAAGCAACAACTAATATCACATCACCGAAATGCCAAGGTTTATTGAAAGACAGTAAATGTGAGTTAGTATTGTGTAGAAGTCGGGGAAGAAAATGATAAGAGCGCCAGGGCAAAGGGTCCAATAGAGCGCTGTAGACTTTAGATAGTCTGCAATGGGTGGCAGTTAATTATCTGCAGATGGTCTGCCGTCTAGGTGATTGTGGCTTCTAGCCAGGTCACTAGGTTTCCGCAGTTGTTAATCTCCGCATCAAAGCAAGTAGCAAAGTCTGATTGTATCTGCTCATGTCTGAATTCAAAATCGCTCCTTTAACCATGTTACTCTTCCTCGCTCGGAGCTTTTAGCTTGTCGTATGGCAGTTTCGTTAGCTAACTTTCTTTCTAAGCAACTTGAATTCACGCTTGGAGCTATTGGTTTTCTCTCTGATTCTTTCATAGTTCTTCACTGGATGCACCATTAAAGATTTTTGTGCAGAATCAAGTCAAAGCGATTCGCTCCACTTTGGCTGCATTCACTTTTTCTATGTAAATAGAACTTTTCGTTATGTCGGGACGGGAGTCAATCGAGTCAATTGTGCCACAAGGGTAGGGCACTCTATCACGTTGTGATAGATTTCTGCTAGATCTAATCCTCCTCCCCCACCAAAAAAGGGTCTTGATACGAACCCCCCTGTCCGCTGCCAATCTGTAGCAGATAAACGACATTATGGCACCAAATGATCTCTTATCTGGCTGCCATACGAACGAGTAGCTTCTGACAGGTTTGTGACGCACGAAGGCACCAGCATTATATTACTTATCTGCTATCAGATATACCGAAGTGCTGGCGCCTTCATGTGACATGAATCTGCCAACAGTTGAAAAATGAAAACTGCAAAAAAAGGAAGGTCTCGAAAAAAGGAAGGAAGAAAAATAAACGACGTGATAAAAAGAGACGAGGGTAATCAAGGATAAACTGTGAAGAAAACGAAAAAAAATGGGATTATTACAGATAAAGGAAGTAGAAGATTAAGGATGGACTATAAGGCTCTGAAAGAAAAAAGAAAAGAGGGAAAATGCGTGTACCAGCTTTTGAATACTAAATGTTCGCGGCCACCCGTAATCATAATCAGTACATCAGGATTCTTCGTGAGCTCTACAGCAACTTCACGACCAAGATCTCACCATTCTACAAGGAGATCATCATCGACGTGAGGAGGATCCGGCACGGCGAGCCCTCTCACCAAAGTTCTTCAGCGCCTCTCTCGAGAACGTCATCGTCTCAACGTCAACTGGAATGGGGCAAATCAACGGTCGGTAAGTACACCATCTCCGCTTTGCTGACGACATCGTTTTGATAACACCAAACATCGAGCAAGCGGAACGAATGCTGGCTGAATTCGACTGCGCGTGTGGAAAAATCGGTCTACGGCTGAATCTAACGAAGACGATGTTCATGAGAAACGGATTGGTTTCTGATGCCCGCTCAACGGAACGACCATCTCTGAATGCTCTAGCTATGTGTACCTAGGTCGTGAAATCAATATGATGAATGACCTAGCTCCAGAGCTGAGCAGGAGGAAGCGAGCGGCTTGGGGAGCCTTCAAGAACATCGAGGGAGTAGCGAAGAAGACGAAGAACACCAAGCTCCGTGCCCACCTCTTCGATTCCGCGGTCCTTCCTGCCTTGACGTACGCCTCAGAGACTTGGACTCTACGAAAGCAGGACGAGCTTGCGGTTGACGTTGTCGACTCAATGGCGCAGAACGTGGTAGATGTCTATGCACCCACCATGGCTAAACACACTTAATTTCGGATTCTCATTTGCATACGTTTGAATATGTTAAAAACCACTCCTAGATGACAACTGTATGTCGCTGTGTCCATCGAGACAATATGATACCCCCCCCCAAGTCACGTATCATGTAACCGGACCTATTGTTAGTGAGACAAACAGGGTAGAGGCACGCACGTGGATGAGTGAAACGGCAATGAGCAACCGAAACATCTTAGAGGGCCTATCAATCGCTTCAAAGTGGACAAGCATACGCTAGTAACAGATCGTTTCTATTCAAGGATCAAGGTGAAAAATCACGGCGACTCCAAGGCAAACGTGAAAATACCCATATCCTGAGCGGCAGCAAACTTAGGGCAATATCGCAAAGTGTTTTCTACAAAGACAGGGATGGACTAATGATATTTTCATGGAACGACGGTTGTATTGCGGGAAGTAAAGAACCGGTAAAATCGAAAGGTGTGTAAATTTCCAAGGGGGGGGGCACTATTCGTCAGACAACCTTGCAATGTACCGGGATAATGTTTTTGCTACCAATAATAACTTGCTTGGCGGACCCAGTGAAAAAAATGCAACTTAACAGAGTACTGAGAGCGAAAACTGCTGATCCGCTCGTGATTTCCTGACCGCTCTTGGTAGGGTACAATGAAGGCGTCCATGGAAAAAAAACTTCACGCAGCACCTGTCCAGAGGCTCAGGACATCCTGCTAGGCGCATGTACTATTGCGTTGCGGAGTGGCAACAGTTACAAATGCCTTGCCTCGTGTGAAGAACTAGGTACCATGCTCGATAAATAGAAGTTTTGGTCACTGCTTCTAAAATCACAAACCGCACGGCAGCAGTAACCTACTTAGTGAATCAGTTGCAGAACGATACGTATCTCGTCCTTGCTCATTTCCGGATGGCCTACGCAGAGCCTTTCGCTGTACATAGATTCGCTTAAAGAAGGCCTTTTAGCCTCCCCAGTACACTTTTGCTCGCATCTCGCACAATTTATTGAATGTACTGGTTCTTTGTGTGACGCAATTTTTATCACTGCAGTACGTACAGCCACCTCGATCACATGTTTTTCGAACGGTCTCGAGCTGGCGGAAATGCACATAAGATTAGGTACGAAGCACTGTGTGTATGGGGAGCGGTGAACTTCCAACCACATTGTTATTGTACTCTCATTTCTGATATACAGGGGGGCCAAAAAAAGTCATTCCGGCCGAGTCACATGAGCGAAGTTTTCGCAGCCCAGACAGAGGAAGTGGATATGAGTACCAGGGCGGAAGATACCCAAGATCTTCCTCTAAGCAGGAGCCGGCTGCCGCCATTCACCTTCATGTACACCAAAATATGAAGTCATCTCCAGTCGCGGCCTGAGTGGAGAACGCCTTTGGAATTCACGTGGCCTCCAAACAGCTGCGGAACTTCTTGAATGGAATCACCCATGGATAGCTACCTGGAGACCAGTACTCTTGATCTGCAAGACCTCAAACATCGAGCAGCTCCGGCAACGTCGCTACGGTCCAGGACATCATCTTCACCCCATTCACCAAGGCGCGGGTTGATGGTGTGGACCGGCCGTACCTGGAATGGATGAACCGATATTTTCTTCGTGGGCCCCAGACTGAGGGTGTGCGCTGGTGGCTACATCGAGCAACTCGAGGAGAATATCCCATCTTCATGTCGTCGCCCGTACCTTCTTGGAAACTTTGTACTGCTACAGGATTGGGTGACAACACATTTAATCGAAGGGCGTTGGAAAAACTTTCGCCTACTTGGAATGGAAGAACGTTGAGTACCTGGAAAAGATGGAGTATTTAAGCGGGGGTCCTGAACTAAACCCCCTCAATTACTCGGTTCGGGCGGAGCTCAACAGGGTGGTCTACAGTGGCGGAGAAATCAACGATCTCGCTCAACTCCGGTACCCACTCACTTTCGCGCGGCCGAATCTCGATGGCGCTCCTCCAGAAGGCTGTGGCGGAGTATCATTATAGTATTTAATGTGCTCTTTAATATGGTAGTAAAAATGTCCGATAAAAATTTAATAAAGTGTAACTTATAGCGCCTTGAAAGTCATGGAGGCAAAATGACTTTTTTTTTGCCCCCCCCCCTGTATTCGGCTTGTTTCCTGAACCAATGGCCTCTCAAGAAATAAAGTTACTGTAGTTACGTAAGGTTACCATATTCAGCTATTGGACTAGAACAGCATGAACAACGGAGAACAAGTTTATGCATTTTCAGCCGATCGTGGGCATTTTAGCATATCATAGACTACTTTGGCGCAACCAAAGAGAAATGAATATTTTGCACTCTGGACACTCCTGATAAGTACCATTATTTATTTTCTGCCTGACTCAAACGTTACCATTTTCCTTGCATGCTCATCGAGCATTCCTGTGATTGCTTGCAGAGCTTCGTTGTTGGTAACGTAAAGGCCATATATGACCACGATCTGACAATGCAAGCGTGCTGAAAACTACAACAACTAAAAAAGATAAAGAAAGAAAGTCATGACCGGCAGACAAGCACTCCAAATGCATTTGCAGCATAAAACCAGCGGATAGAAAAGCTTGTAAGAGCCCCGGCTATCCCGCGCAATATAGTAGGAGAGCAGTCTTATGTGAAAGCCGTTCTTGACTGCTTCTTCTTCTGTTTTTTTTCCACAAGAGGAGTTCCATTTGCAGCTTATGGCTCATGTAAATTACGCTATATCCGCTAGCTCGCCATGGTTCGCCATGGTTCTGTTGTAAAACTCGCTTAGTCAGGCTGGTACAATTCAAATAAGGGCGAGGAAAGCAAGAAGAGTGTTTGAGAAGACATACACACTAAGCTCACCTGAGTTTTGAAGTAGCGTAAATCACGAAGCCAGAATCATCGATTATGCCGGATTGCAGAGTGGGATTGTTGTAGTGAATTTCAACTTTAAGATACTTCTTTCCTGTCCTACCACCAATTGGCAAACCAGCTTCGGGAGGATAAAATATAGGCTAAAAGTGAACAACGCCAATGAGTGAAATGTAGCTTGTCCTTTAGGATACAATATTTCTTAATTGCTATTAATATGCCGAGTTGTAGCTAATCAGTGGAGAGTAGAGGTAAAAAGGAGTGCTTGCGAATGCAATTCCGCAATCCTAAGAAACTCATTTAAAGACACATGGTACGCTCAAACACATTGAGGGTGTATGAGACTATCAGCCCCCCAGCTGTCGATGTGTCGTGGTTTCCCCGCCCGAAACTGCACGGGGTTAGAGTACAGGGCCGTGGGAAAGTCTAATTCGTCCATGCTCCGCCCAAAATGCAACTTGCGGCGCAGACTCCTTTATGCTAACAGCCGTCCGCGCGGCGCGTGTCGCGCGCAGCTCTCTTGGCTTTTTGCCAAGTCCTGTAATTGCGCTTTGGAATACAAGTAAAACGCAATTTCCTGATGCGGATAACATTTTAGGTGCTGCAAAATAAGAACCGAAGATGATGACGAGGGCCAGAACTCAAGAGCAACTGTGCTGCTTCTGCAATATCCCTCGGAGGCCGCGCATTTCCACGAAACATGAGAATAAAAACGGTCTAATGCTTAGTTTAAAGTATTGCTAGCTTGACTTTGGAGCCGAATTCGCGCCGGATCTCAGAAATTTACACGCGACTCCGATTAATTTGAGTTTCCTTATTTTTTTCATATTGTTTTATTTACATCTATATTCGTTGTTCTTCATTTCTAGCCTTTGTCATCTTCATCACCTTCTATTCGGACTTTGAAGCATGAGCAACACCTCAAATGTTATCCGCATCAGGAAATTGCGTTTTACTTGTATTCCAAAGCGCAATTACAGGACTTGGCAAAAAGCCAAGAGAGCCGCGCGCGACACGCGCCGCGCGGACGGCTGTTAGCATAAAGGAGTTTGCGCCGCAAGTTGCATTTTGGGCGGTGTAGCAAGGAATTAGACTTTCCCACGGTACTCTGACCCCGTGCAGTTTCGGGCGGGGAAACCACGACACATCGACAGCTGGGGGGCTGATAGTCTCATACACCCTCAATGTGTTTGAGCGTACCATGTGTCTTTAAGTAGGCTGGGATCATGAATGTGCAAAACACATGGCTCTTCCAATGAAGGCATTCTTTGTCTCTATTCCAAAAAAACACCGTTGAACTATTCTGCCAATCCTCTTACATCAGTTTCACAGGCTTATAATAATATCTTAGGACTCTTGGATTCTAGTGCGCTGAATGATTTATAATGAATCATAGGTCCTGTCGTTAGCTTAACATTCAAGAACTCATAATGCGCCTCAAAGTCAAAGTTAATGGGAAAGATGAAGTATAGAGCCTTGATCGTGATTCTAACATTCTGAATCTATTTTGGAACTATGGTGATACCGTCCATTCCCAGCAAAGAATACTTCAGGCTTTTTGGAAGCCAAGGGAGATCCTCACTTCTCCGATTAATTCACAATTTGATTTATGGATTCTTTCAGCGCGACGCACTCAGCTGTAGCTTCACTGACCGCGTGCAGTTTGATCAATGAGCGTATATCAAAAATGTTTCCGAAATCTCTAGGAGGAGCAGAGGAAGTCAGTAGAGAAGATTAATTTAACCTTCATCACATTGAGCAGAGATGAATTTCTGCCAAGTGGCGACCTTGGAGTAGAAACTCCAAACAAGCATACATCAAAAAGAATAAATCAGGGTCGTGGGAAAGATGGTATACGAAACATCTGATAGCGCCGCGTAAAACTCATGTCATCCAGACATGAATACAACAACCTTGGCATGATTGATTCGAAAAGATAAAAAGTCTTTGTTACGTTGAAGCCTACTGAGTTGCTAGGGCGCGACACGTTGCGTAGTATTCCTAATGTCCAACAAACGTTTGGTACAGGCATGGTCGAAGGGTGCTTCCGGAGTGCTTGGGTTAGAACTAAACTCGAACCAGTGAAATAGCTCGCGCCAATGCTAAAGCACAAAGCGTGCTCCGACTGTAGCTGCAAATTTGGATGGCCCGGCCGTAAACAGTTATTATTAAGAAGCTCGCACTCATTTATTTATACCTGCAATGACGCGTCAGGTTAGTACTACGGTCCGTGCAGAGGATTAATAATGGAACTCAGTGATTCTAGAATCAAACACAAACAAGTAAAAGAAAAAACATTCAGGGAAAAAAGACAGAAACAACAAAAAAAAACAGAAAAAGAAAATATACACACGAAAAAGGAAAGCACGAGAAGGAACTGCCATGTGATCAAAACATTCAAGCCTTGGAAATCTATGTAAGAGGATGCAGTAGAAGTAGAGGAGACCAAAAAGGATGAAACTCAGACAGAAGGGCTACAGCGCCTTATGATATGTAACTCCTCGAAATGAAGAGTGGCATGTGGGCATGTGAAGCTAGAAAGAAGGAACAACACAAACAGACCGCTGTCCCGGGGCGTTTCGAAGTAAGAGCATGACTCTGGATTAAGCCACTATCCAAGAGCGAGGTAGGGTGTCTAATGACCACTCACGCTAGCGCCTACACCAGCCGGCCATGGTGTCCTTACGCCACATCCGGGGTCATGGGATTTTGCCGGAACTTCGAAACACGGATATGCCGGCTGCCCACGTGGAACCGCAAAACAGGCAAGAGCGCGAATGTACTGTACCAATCATTCCCTACCAAAGCCTTAGTAGTAGCCCATGAGTGGATGCTATGACGAGTTCGCCCGAATTAGATATTCTGTGAATGGTGGACAATCTGTGTAGATCTGATTTCAGCTTCTTCCCATGATGCCACTCTTAACCAGGAGGAACCGAAAAAAAGAGTATCTTCACAAGCATTCGAAGAATAGACGCGTCTACTGTACATCTTCCAACCCGAGGGCTTAAAAAACATATATATGTAATAATAAAAATAATAAACATAATAATTGAAATATAAATATATTTCAAAAAATAAAATAATATAAAGTATAATAAAAATAGTATAATAATAATAATAAAAATATATATATTATTCAGCTCTCTTTTGAAATGAGAGGAGTCTTTACAAAAGGAAAGAGAGGGAGGCAGGTTCGAGAGCCAACGAGTAGTCCGCAAAATGAAGCTGTTATGTCGCAGCTGCCTGTGGAACTTTCCCATTTTGTGCCCAAACGCCAAAAGACATCCTCGACGACCACTCGGAAAGACCAGAACTTTGGAGGATCAAGACGCGTCTCGCCTCTGAGAATCTTAGAAGCAAAAACTAAATCTGAAGATATTCTTCTATAGAAAAGACTCTTCAAATTGAGTTCATGAAGTCTCGCATCATAGGAAGGAATGGTTCTAGGGTAGCTTGCACTGGGAAAAGCCTTATAATACAGAATTCTGGTGAACGTTTTCTGCACTTTCTCAAGTTTTTTGATATCTTTGACCAGCACAGGGCTCCAGATGGGGCTACAATACTCTACAATAGGAAGGATATAAGACTTGTAGAGTCTTATCCATAGCTTAACGTCAGAGCAATGGATATTCCTGAAAAGGTGGTAAACCAAACTCAGGGCTCTGTTGCTAACTTCCTCAACATGTGTGCTCCAGCTTAAATTTTTGGAAAGCCTGACTCCCAAATCCTTTATTTCATCACTGTGCCTAATGCGTGTCTTATCCGGGAAACAGATTTTTGGAGGAGGGATCCAAGTGAAAATGCTACAGTTTACTTGGGTTTATTGCTAGGTCCCAATTGTGGGCCCAGGTGAGCATCTTGTCAACAGAGCTATTCATCGCTTGCTGGACCACTTGCCTATCTTCTTCGCTATAAATTCCGCAACTTTGATATCGTCCGCGAAACCGGCAACCATTAGTCTGCTATCTGTAATGAGGGATCCGAGCAGGTCATGAGTGTATATGAGGAAGAGGAGTGGTGAAAGAATTCCTCCTGGGGGACGCCAGACGGGCATTCCCTAGAGGTTGATAAGTAGTCGCCCACGCGAACATTCGTCCTCCAGCCCGTTAAATATGATTTGAACCAATGAAACGCAGTGTTTCTGACTCCAATGCTCTCGAGGAGAAGGGGGAACTACGGTAGTTTCTTTCTTTTCTTGTGACTTATTATGCTTCATTTATAGTTTATTGATTTTGTTTATTTACGGTTTCTCATGACACATTTTCTGTTCCTCACATTTTTCCTTGATTACCCTCGCGTCTTTTTTGTCGTGTATGTATTTTCGCAAATCTTCCATTTTTTCGGTATTTGTTTGTCCATTGCCAGTTTGGTCCGCTGCTACCAGATTAGCAGCGGAAAGGGAGAGGGAGTCGAATCGAGACCTTTTCTAGAGGGAGGTCCTATTTAGCAGAAACTCATCACAACGCGACAGGGTGCACTGCCCCGGAGCCTTCCGAGGTAACTCGAACGATAGTTTCAAAGAGTTTTCGCTAGGCTCAGGAGGAATACATGCCCCTGGAATAGGGTGATTGGGCACTACTCAAGATTGTCGGTGATGACCATCTAGATGAGAAGGCTAAAAATGTGTTTATGACAATCCCTTCGAGTCTGTTGTAAGGGAAGGAAGTAGGCTAATCAAGTGACTACCGCGACCAGAGTGAAGCTTCAGACAAGAGGAAGCCAAAATTAGGACCACAGTGGCCTATCTCAGGAAGGGATAGCCGAGTGATTAAGAGTGCGGACTCATGTTCTCACTCTGAGCCACGAGTTCGATCCCTGCCGAGGCACAAACCTGCCTTGCAAAAATTGCAAAAATGGGGACGATACCAGCGTCAGGCCCAGGTTGACAGGCCGGCTGATGGAGGAACCCGTCACAACAATCATGACAAGTCGCAAAAGTATCAGTGTTAAAGCTAGGACGTCACCCGGAAGTGGCGCGCAGAACCCTCGCCCGAGTTCTGTGGTCAGTATGCGAGGGCTACCGAGGGGTGAACGACCTCGGCCAAAGAAGCTAGTTCGAATTGGGACCCTGAACGTGGGGTCGCTTACCGGGAAGTCTCGTGAGGTTGCCGACCTCATGAGACGCAGGAATATCCAAGTC